GAGCAAAAAAGGTATTGCTGATTATTTAGCTAGTTCTGTATTATTCTATTATATCTTCTATTATGCATTATTACACGGGTGGAATAACGAAATAATATTTAACGCCCCACGAACGAGAGGGATAACACAAATATTAAGTTCATGACATGAATAATCATGGAAACTTATACATTCGTTCTCCCTGCCCTTCCAAGGGCCTCCCTGATATTTCGATCAGTGCCAAATGTTAATATCACGTTTTCGTATTACGTAACGTCGATCAACTCATGATCATACGCAATCTACTTAAAACAAGCGCCCATATCCAAAGGAGATTACTCACTTACTTCGATAATTAACACGCGGGTACTCGAATAACGGCAATTAATTTTAAATAAAGTTCTCATCCGGGAATTTTCATCCCGTTCTCCATCTTCTTGTCCACGAAAGTTCATTCCGCATTTTAAAGCGTTCGATTAAAAATCCAATTAAAAAGGCCCCATTGTTCCGCGGAGGAAAAATAAGACGTACCTTCTCGCCTATAGCGTCCGCGTGATTCCGGTTACACAGCAGAGCCGCGTCTTCGCACACGCGTATCACGCGCGGCCTACCGTCGCACGAATTCCACTTGACAGAGATACGTATCGCAGTCATTCACGGGCCCGCAAATTAGGAGAGCGTCGACGCGAAGCGATGATCGCGCGCGCCGGCCGAGCTACAGCGAAACAACGGCCGTGGATGACGTCGTCGGTTCATGGAGAAATGCGGGTACAGTGACGGACAGAATGGATGCAACAATTTTTTTAATGAGTTCAGGAACCGCGCTTTTAGATTCGGGTTTACGCCCCAAAGCACTTACCCTGGGGAAAATTGTACCCGAGAATTAGATCGGAAACACTCAAAATGGTTTCGGAAATGGCCATTTAAACTCTCTCTTAAATAGAATAACTTTAACATTTTTTCTCCCTTTCATTTCATTGACAACTGGGCTTAACCCTTTAAAGCATACATTTTACTATCGAACCGTTTTTTGTGAAACTTTGTATACGAGGGTTTTGGGGGTCGCCGATCACGAATCCGTCATCAGATTTTTATAATTCGAAAGTTCGACCTAAATGCGTTAACTAGAAATTAAATGGCCAAAAAGTAAAGAAGTTGAGGTGGCAACGTGGGTTACCAACAACGTGCTTCAAAGGGTTAAAATTTCACGTACTGATAGATAAAACTTACAACTCCAACGTACTTAAATTTTTTCTACCTTTGGTCGGTTCATGCAGGAGTCGCTTTAAGAACCAATGCGAGCCGGTCGACTCGCAACTTATTTGCGAGAGCCGAATCTGCGCACCAAGTTTCTCTCGCGGATGAATTCGAGAATCTAGGTCTCGGTATTGGAGAATATCGCTATTTACATATTTGACGTCGGAGCTGTCCTGTTAGCGCGCCTTGGAGTCGCGCGCGTCACGCTTCTTTATCTCCCTTAATGTTTCCGGGGCTGCGTCAAAACGCGCGCGAGAAACGTCTCGACGTAGCAGTGCCAGCGCGAGAAACGCGAGCCATTGAACGGCGAGGAGTATAAACCGATAATGCGGCCAGTTTCCTGGCGAGGAAATCGGATTTCAAGGCACGTGCGATGGTAATAATAGCGTCATCGTCGGCTGCGCCGCGCGATTCTAAATGCCTCGGCATCAGCATCATCTCCGCGTTTGGAGTGTTAACGATCAATCGGTGACGATAAGCAATTCTCCTCCCCGCCTCTGAAAATCTGGAAATTATCGTTGACGCGATAAAATGAGCGCGATTCAATTAAACGCGAACGAAAATTGAGAAATAATTCGGTGGCAACGTCGAATTATGTGCAAACAACATTGGCGACGGAACGTTCGGTAGGCTCCCGTGATAATGAAAGTTAGGGCGTGCTAATTGCGCTAAGTGCACTCGCCACGCCGGCAGCCGAAGCCTTACGGGCAGATTATTGTCTCGGCTGACGCAGAAAGCGCAGAAGCTAAATGAAAATGTCGGGCTCGTTCTCTGCTCTACTAAGGGCCAGCAGAGCACAAAGCAACGTAATGGCCTGCGACAAAGACGCGAGCGTAAACGTAGATTGCGCACAAGCTTTGCCGCAAATGTAACGTCATATGAAATTGACGGCGAGTGCGACACACGCCAAAGCTTGCGCGCTAACCTACGTTCACGCTCACGTCTTTGTCGTAAGCTATTACGTTGCTTTGTGCTCCGACCCTAAAAAAAGAGCCTTACTTAAAACAAAATTGAGTCATCTTTTATTATCGACTTATACTTTTTATTTTTATTTTTTTGTAGCTATAATTATATAGCTATAATTATATATAATTATATAGCGACTAATGTTATCATATGCCTCGGTGGTCGAATTGGTTGAGACGTCCGCCTAGAGTGTAGGGAAGTCCAGGTTCAAACCCTGGCCGAGGTAATATTTTTCGCAATAAATTTTCTGTATTATTAAAATTGCCAGATACGGTCAATAAAAAGAAATCTCTGATGTTGTTAATTACTGCTGGCGACTTTTAAGAATATTCGCATTAGAAAATTGAGCCATGTCCATAGTGTGTGTGAAGCTGGCATCTTATTTCGTGGAAAATCACTAATTATAGAGAGTTCTGACTTCCTTTCTAATAGTTCTAGAGTTCCTGATACATTAAACACATTGTTCTGGCTTTTAAGACCAAAAAATTGAAAAGTGCAAACTGACTTGCTAACTTCACGCTGCAAATCACTTTGTCCCCGGATGATTTCCCAATTATTTCTGCTAGGATTTTTATCGCATGAGGAGTTCTACGATAACTCAAGAAAGAGTTCTGGCGAAAAAACATAGTTTTTATAATTTAAAATTTTTTTATCACTTTACAAATATACCCTCATGGAGACAAAGGTGATTTGCTGTCCGAAATAACAGAGTTCTGACTTTCTACAAATAGTTGTCGCATAGTCCCGAACATATTTAAGCATTTTCTACAGAGTTCCAAAACAGTTTAAAAACTTTGCGCAAATTCGTCAAATTGTACATTTCACAATCGTACACTGTCGACGAAGTTTTTACCATTTTCATTTGTTTATATAAAATAGGATGTTTCCAGATGCAGAGAGCACATTGTAGATTAGGCTTTACTTTAGAAATAGACAAACGTGAATTAAACAAGGCAGAGTTTTGGGTCAGGTGACTTATGGCTAAATCCTGGTCGGCTCTCGTAAGCGATCCAGCAGGAAAAATAGCATCGTGTGCGGTCGGCTTTACTTTCTAGAGGTTTTCTAAGCAAACACATTTTATCGAGGAGCAAACCGCTGAGGGCATTGTAGTGTACAGATTTGCGGCATAACTGGGCATTACTAGGCATTTTTGGGGGGCATTAGGCCTTGCTGGGGCATTATAAAGATAAAATAAGATAACGTAAGATAACAAGATGAAGTAAGGCCCACCGGGCATTAGTGGGCATTGGCGTACAAGATTTTGGTCAGCGGTTCCCCGCTCGTATTTTATTTTCTCTCTTGAAGCTTTTGAATCGCTAACCAAATACACCTTATGAGTATCGAGAGCTTAACCCGAAGCTAAAGAAACACAAATAACGTCTTTCGAGAAGCAAGAGTGTCTTATGTCCGGATCGAAGTGGCGCATGTTGAGTTTTATGCAAGTATCACATTATCATTTCTATCAGCATCGCCCATTGTGCTTCGCCGTATTATGCCCAAGTATTGAATATGTAATAATGCGGTCAAAAACCGAACGCTACATTTGATCCTCCCGTAAAATGTTCACCTCCGGAGTCGGGGCTCTCCTAAAAGAGCAGTTCTGGGACCAATTCTTGCATTCATCCACAAGAAAAACGGGAGTTCCGCTTTTACAGAAAAGTTGCAAGTCGATTGGCAATCGCAGGCTTTTTAAACCAAATTTACATTACGCGCTTTGCGTCGAGAAATATTCGAGCTTGTTGCCGATACGTTTAAAAAATGTATGCAAGTTGCTAAATTGTGCGCTATGTATATTGCACAATCTTACATCGTCGACGAATTCTCCAAGCGTTTCGAGTTGCTTGTGTAAAATAGAACGTTTCCGGGACGCAAAGAGCCCACGCTGCAGATCAGACTTTGGCCAATCGCCTCGCAGCTTTTCCGCGAGAGCCGAATTTGCGCCTACGTTTCTCTCGCGGATGAATTCGAGAATCCAAGTCCCCGGGGTCTAAAGGCTGGGTTTACGCAAGACCGTGACCGTTAACGTATGCCGGAATCGGTAAAAGTTAACCAATTGCAATCAACTGTTCCCCTCACTTTTAACGGTGACTGGACAATTTTTACCGATTCCGGTATAATTTAACAGTTACGGCCTCGCATAGACCAGCCTTAATGCGTCGTCTTACAGTGCGTGGAGTAAGAGAGAACCCGTGGCCTTCAGCTTTTGGTGCAAGAAAGCTGAAACGCAGGCATACTTTTCGAGATATTTGTAACACTGACCGATGGCGTTCTGATTCGCCGAGAGAGAGTAAGCGTAAGAGCTGAAGTGGAAGAAAGAAAGTAGATTTCGTTCCTTACTCTAGGCTTACTCCACGCATCGTAGACGACGCGTAACGTCTAGCGAGTCGTCGACGTCCCGCGGGATCGCCCGGCCGAGGTTGTCGGCGCTCGTTTTCCCGGCGCGCGTACCGCGCGACATACACGCCCACGCGCGCGGGCGGCACGCGCGCGACCCGGTGCGGTTAGCGGCGACATGACACGGCGAAAGCGAGCGGCAAGGACGAAATGTGCGGCGCGAGGGGGGGGGGGGCGGCGGGACAAAGGGGAACAAAGGGGAGACCCGCGAAGAGCGGGGGCGCGACTCCGGGTAAGCGTCGCTGGAAATGAAGCGCTCGAGTGCGTAATGCGCGGCGGAATAGGCGCTCGGAAAAATTGGGGCGAGACGCGCACGCGAGAAGGCGAAATTGGGGCAGAGACGGGCGAGAACGTCGGCGGGGCCTGAAGTTGAATCATCGACGTTTACGGGAACGTAAACTCACCTCCTCGAGGGACGTGATGGTCTGCCTGCACTGTGGCATTCGCGAGACGAACGTGGACGTGGTGGGCGAGTTGTAGTCCTCCCTCGTCTCCTCGACGAACTCGCTCACTGCGATCAGGCCCGGCATCTTTCCGGCCGTTCTCGTTTTCCGTCAGTTGTTCCGTCCGGCCGCCGCGCCGTCACCACCCCACCCTCCCGGGTGCCGCGGCGCCCAGCTGCGAGCGAGGCTGTCCCCTCGGCACGGATCGCCTCTCGCCACCGCGACTCCCCCTCGCTCGTCCTCGTCGTCGTCGTCGTCCGCCGCCGTCGTCGCCGTCGTCGCCGGCGACCGCGCGCACTCTTACACTCCGCGGACACCGTTCACTTCACTCGTCTCTCACCATCTAATTCCGCGGGGGGGGACACCCCGCTCACGTTTTCCGCCTCTCCTCCGCGTACGTTGCTTTTCCGTGAACCGCACGGTACGAACGTCGTCCCGGCACGGAGTGACAGGGGTCGAGCGAGAGATACAGACACACGCACGGAAGAGAGGAATGAATGACAAGGGAACGCGGGAGCGCGGGACGGACAGACGGCAGATTCGAGCAGCGTGTCCGACAGCTACCACCTCTCCGCGCGGAAGAGAATGAGAGAGAGAGACAGACGCACTCGCGACAGACCGGCGTGATTATTTTCGCGACGTAGCCGCGGCGAGCCACCAGCCGTCGCGAGGACGCATAGCAGTAGCAGCAACAACAGCAGCAGCAGCAGCAGCGACAGAGGCAGCGGGAGCTCGTTCCACTCGTCGGCGAGGAGCGCGGGTCACCACGCATACGTGCATGCGCGCATGCACACCGCCGCGGCGCCACGGCGAACGGACGACGGCGACGGCTGCCGCTGGAGCGACGCGAGCGCGCGCGAACACACAGAAACGCGAGACGCCGGAGAGGGCACCCGCGCTGCTCCCTGTACGCAGCCGCGTCCGCGCGGGAAGCGCACACCTTCGCACGCTCCGATCCCTCTCGCACCTTAATCGCGCACCCTAACCGCCTCGGTCGGTCGCGGTGGCCCGAGTACCGCCAGCGCCGAGACACGCGCGACTGCGGTCCAAGTTTCACTGAGGCGGCGCTGGCGACGGGCGCCGCGCGCGCCGCGCGCGACCTGCCCCCGCGGGACACCGAGCGTGATTCGAGTAGCGGCCGCGCGGCGTCGCGGCGAACGGCGGCGACGCGAGCGCCGGACGGCGGGACGAGAGAAACGGCGGCAAATTGAAGAGGGAATCCGGACGTCTCGCTATTTATACGTTTGTCGTTTAAGGGGATGCTGGAGTGATTCTGCACTTTTGTACCTTTCTAATCTAGAAACTGTCAGTTCACGGAAACATTTGTGTAATGTACAAATTAAATGGCTCACGTGTGCAGATCGAAAGCAGCTTGCGATTCCGGCTAAATGAAAGAACAACATGGCATCACTGAAACTAAGTGTGCAAGTCTAATAAGAATAGTGAGCAACTTACAGTACATGTAATATGTTGCTCACTATTCTTTCTTATTAGACTTGCAAACTTAGTTTCAGTGATGCCATGTTGTTCTTTAATTTAGCCGGAATAGCAAGCTGCTTTCTGTACACGTAAGCCATTTAATTTGTATATTACACAAATGTTTCCGTCACGAAACAGACAATTTTAAGTGCAAAAGTGCAGAATCACTCCAGCGTCCCCTTAAGCCTTGTGTCTACGGTCGGTATTTATAGTCAGATCTCCTTAAGGTCATCTTTAGATACTCCTAGCCAGTAAAATGTTCCATAAGATAAACCTAAGATGGTCTTGAATACAAGACCTGACTCTGAATGCCGGTCTACGATACTAGAAATCAGTCCGAGATCTCTATCTGAGAAATATAGCAACTTTGCCCTAAAAATTGCAAGTTGATTGGCTAAATATTTGTTGGATCGAGATCTTGGGCCGATTTCTAGCATCGTGGACACAAGGGATTCATAGTCAGGGGGTCAATTCTGTATCTTACAATATAGTGAAAATGTTAAAAATGTACGGCTTTGTCCCTCTCTAAGGGGACGGTTAGAAAGAGACAAAGCAAATCACTTTTAGCATTTTCACTATAGTGTAAGATACAGAATTGACTACAAGATCTTAAATTCAAGACCGTCTTAAGATCGTCTTTAGATACTCCGTAGTCAATGAAATGTTTCATACGGCATCTTTAAATAAATTCAAGACGGTCTTGAATATAATGAATATGAGATCGAATATAAGATCTGGGGGTTAATTCTGTATCTTTAGCATTTTCACTATAGTGCAAGATACAGAATTGACCCCTCGACTATGAATACCGGCCAAGGCTTTATAGCTCAACTGGCTGCACCAGGTCACAGTGTCTTCCATTGAGAACGACTTAACAGCACTGAATGCTCGAAGCATATTTTATTCATAATATTAGTCGTTGTATTAATCGTTATTTGTCGTTTATCGAAGTTAAACAAGGATGAAATGATTCACCGTGTCGCACCGTGTCTCTTACTGGAAAAAACGTTTAAGATACGATTATGAAATATGCTTCAAGCACTCAGCACTGCCAGGTCAAGCAAGTTTTTCTCAATAGAAGACGCTGTCAGAGTTTAACTTTCTCCCTTCGCACTCTAAACTAGCAGCCTAAAAAGAACAGAGTTAGGTCTCGTTGCGATAATCGAATATTTCATTTGTTTACTTAAACCGTCTAGTAGGCATGCTGTAAAAATTATATACCTGCGCGCAGAATACGATATACCGCTAATGTTCACGATTTCTCCTCACTTGAGTCTATAAGATAAATATTATTATAAACTAAAGTACGAGTTTAACAATGGAAATTATGTTCTTCTTACGCACCACTCGGCAAATCTAATCGCAGCGGTGAAATCGTGTGGCACAAAATTGGACACAATTCAGAAAGTAACGTTCAAATATTTATCATAGTGTTTTATTACAGAAACGTAAAAGAATATTACATCACAATTTCCTGCAGCTTGAGCTGCTTTTTGCTCTTAGCCTTAACTTGCGCGGCAATCCGATCCAAGTCCCTGCGCCCTTGGCTGGTGAGTTTGCGTCCCCCGAGGGGCGCCTTCTCGATCAGCTTCAGTTGCTCCAAGCTCTGGAGCGCCTTGCGCGCGACACCGCCCGCCGACCGGCAGAAGTGGCTGGGATGGGTGCCGTTGCGTTTGCGCCCGCCGAAGATCTTGGTGACGGCGCCGACTCCGATCGGGCTGCGAATGTAGATGTGACGCACCAGGGCCGCGCACCTGATGTAGTACCAATCGGGATCGTACGGCGCCAGTTCCTTGAATTTCGCCGTCTTCACGATGTCCACCCATTCTGGCACACGCATCTTGCCAGTTCTACAATTTTACAAGGCACCAGTCGAGTTAGGCCCGGTTTATCATGTTCTTAAACGTCGACCAGAGGTTAGTCGACTACCTGTCTCTTCTTAGATAACAATATAGAAAAAGATAGAGAGTCCACTAACGTCTGGTTAACCAGAAAATGAAAAACCGGGCCTTGGTAGACGCATCATCGAGCTACAGCGCGCCAACTTTTCTCATAAGAAACGTACAGCGTGAAGATACAAAGTAAAAACTTTTACAAAGGTGGGCTGAATAATATTAGACGAGTAGGAAAGAAGAGACGTTAATAGATGATAAAGGCAAGAATAAATAGGAACAATTTAATGTGTTTTACTCATGGACGTATTAGTCAGGTTAGGTTAGGTTAGACTTGGAACACGTTTCTTACTTACTTTTTTAGGAAGGCTGCAAAGGCCTTCACAAATTTTTGCTGCTCTACGTCCTTTAGCGTGACAGACGGCATCTGGAAGGAAAGTTTAACTCGATAAGACAATTAACACGTGAAACAGCACATATGTACACACGTCGCACGTGAGACACAAATTGATATCCCAAATCTCCCCGATCTCGATAATCGCTAAAGAATCATGAAAGCCGTTAACCCGATACGTTTTGCATTACAAATTCTCATATATTGTTTACTAAAAATGACTTAAATCGTCATAAAACCGTCAACACCACGTACCTTTGCGAGAATACGAACCGGAAAGAGCGAGATTCGAGTGGCAGGAGAACAGCTTGATTATAAAATGGCAGCAACGGGCGCCATGACGCGAGGTGACAGCCGGGAAATTCAAGAAGACGAGTGGATATTTCGTGGTGTGTGTTTACGCGGACATTACGCAACTGACAATGAGATAAAAGCAATGTATCTTAGGCCGGTATTTATAATCGGGCCTTATGTTCAAGGCCGTCTCGAATTTATCTAAAGATGCTGTACGGAACGTTTCATTGGCCACGGAGTATCTAGAGATGATGTTGAGTCACATTCTTGAAGATTAATAGTCAAGTCTTTCAAACAATAATTTACTGAACGTCATAATTATGCAACAGAAAGGATCAATGTTGCACTTCATTGCGTATATTTTATTTTTGTAGAATACGTGCTTTTCTCGTGTTTCATCAAAATAAAATATATGCAAGGAAAAATTGAATTATAATAGGATATAATATTTAATATGATGCATGAACTTTGTTTATATTGTACGTACATCTTAATTATGAAATTTCTATCGTATAGACACGTACGAGAAATTTAATAAAACATAATTCGCGTAAGAATGCCAATGTAAAATGGAACTGAATTAGACGAATATTTCTTTATTTACAATATTTCTTCATTAACAAAATGTATGTACGTTCATTATTAAAAGAAAATATTAGACTTTCACTAAAATCCATCCAAAATCTTTCAAAAGATACTGTTATTAGTCTAATAAATGTCCAATTACTAATTCTGAGATACTACCTTAGTCTAGTACAGTGCATTGATCGAACATTGGTTAAACATTGACCCAATACTGGTTGTATTGGACTAATGTTTAGCCAACGCACTGTGCTACTAAGGCAGTAGTCAACACATTTAATTCGTAAATTGTGTTGCAAGTACATTATCAGGTACAATCAAGACATAATTTTAAATACTTAAAAATGTTTTTATTTTATTAAAATTTCATAAACCATAACTTCCCAGATAGCAGTGCGTGTCTAAGAGACGCCATAATTTGGTTGTTGAAAACCTGCTATCTCATATTAGAAGCCCATCTCGTAATAGGAGACCATAGACATAGTATA